ACTATCACATATCATTCATCAATCATCTCTTTTAATTATACTTTCTGATCAACAACTACCTCATTTAACTAGCCAGATAGTTCATATTTGGTGCTATAAAGGCTTAGCATCATGAGTTTTTGGAGAGAGCATAAGAAAGAGAGAGCAAAAATTGAATATTTGAGTGAGTGAATCTCCAATGTAATGAGTAGCTTGGGTGAGTGAATCCCTGATTGTTATGGCTGAGTAAGTAGCCAAAGTTTTAAGTGAATTCCATTGAATCCCCCTTCCCATCTACTTAATATTATGTCTCTTGGCTCATCATATTGGTATTGACACAGTTTCTCCATATCTCACTTTTTTTTTCTACATATCTCAACTTGAATATTTTTATAGGCATTGATAAGTCATGACGGTGGGTACTTCACCAAACGTCAAACTCTAAGTGGAGTTTTTTTTTTTTTTTTTCATCAAGGGAATAATAGTAGTATGTATGGTTCTAATAAAAACACCTGGAACAAATCTGGGCAAATTCTGGTGCAAATTCTCAACTGCTCGTCCCAGGACGATCCCAGATCGTCCTGGACGATCATGGAGCAGATTTTGATATTACATCACGTTTATTAATACTTCCAAGCACTAACTACCTACACCAACTCCCTCAATTTGATGGTATAAAAGGCTTTAGACAAGAAATATTTTTTAATACACCATAATGATAACAAAGTGTTGACCCATACACAAAAAATGTGAAAAAAGAGCAAAATTGATGACTCAAGTGATGGTCGGAGGGTGAGCGCGTCACTTAAATAGTCAAATGATCTCTGATTGTCAAACGGACTGCGTCGTTGAGATCAGAGCTTCGAATTTACCTAAAAGGTAGCCCCTCACAATCAAATCAGGCGAAAATGGTCAAGATTGGCGATCAACATCCGAAAATGATGTGCGAGCCGCCCAAATGATGTCTGATCACAAAACGGATTTTTCCATTGTGTTTGGATGTCTGAGTCACCTAAAAATGACTGTAATTTCGCACATATTGGCGCACGGGGGTGCGCAGAGGAGAGACCGGGACACGGGAGGTGCTAATTAAGTGGAAGGATGTGCCCAAGCATGATGCCACATGGGAGCCATATGAGACAATCAGAAGACAATTCTCAACTTTCCACCTTAAGAACAAAGTAGATTTTGAGAAGGGGAGTATTGTTATGGGGGAGACAGGCAGCTAGCCCAATCATCCGGCCCAACTAGGGCCGGTTCAACAAAACCAAGAGGGCAAAGCCTGATTTCATATTCAAGGTGCATCACAAAGCTTGCTGAAAAAATATATTTCTAGGTTTCTAATGAAACAGTGATCAACTTAATAGCATATTTATTCAACAAATGTCCCTTCCAATTTCCGCTAATTATAAACCTCTTCAAGTTCTCATAAATATTCTGACTAACCTCATCAGCAAACTTTATTAAAATTGTGGTTCTTGGCCGTTGTTGACCTTCCATGGGTACAAAATGTGCTGTCACTACAGCTGGAAAGCCTGCATTGTCTAAGACACCCTTCACAGCAAATGAAACATTTAGAATAGCTAATTAGATGTGCAAGCCCATGGAGGAACAAAAACTAAAGATACATTTTCAACTTACCCTTACAATCCCAGCTACAAATGCACCGCAGTTAAATGTTCCCATGTCTTTGGGTATGGATATAAATCTTCGTAAACAACAGAAAGCAAACTTACATCAGGGAAACGACAGATGAATATAACCAGAAAAACTAACAATGAGAGATAAACCATCTTACCGGTTCACTAGAAGTTCTTTTTCACTTATCATATATTCATCTTCATGCTCGGTCCCTTTCTCAAGTGAGTCAGCTACCTGGTCAGAAAGTAAACAAAATAAGTCTGATTATATACTAAGGCTTCGTTTGGGACAATTTTTTTACTGCTTCTTAAAGCGGCTTTCTAGTACAAAAATTTAATTTTTGTACTAAAAAACCGCTTTAAGAGGCAATAAAAAAGCCGTCCCAAATGAAGTCTAAAATGGGTGAAAAGAGAGCAATACAGACAAGCAAATAGTTAACATTTCATAAAAACTAAATTAGAACTAATTAACAAGAATTAACTGCCAAAAAAAAACAAGTCAAGAAACATTAAAGGCACTATATCAGAAGTTATAAAAGGTATTTTAGCGACCTTTCCGAAGAGAACTTTCCACACAGTGGTGTGCACAAAGGATAAAATCCCCAAAAGTCTTGTCTCCCTTCTGTTACCCTGTATAATAATACTGAGGAGCATTAACGAAATGACTGGACAAGTCAGACAAACTAAGCAGTTTTGATGTCTAGCAAGCAATTCAACACAGGAAAAATTAAATTTAGTTTAAATTTTACAGTTAACATATTATAAATGCTGAAGAGTTGCATGACACTGATTGAAGACAACCTACAATATATCTATAAAAAAATCAAATCAGAAAGGTACGGCAGCTGCAAAAGTGAAACAAGTTTTAAAGCAACTGCTGAAACGGAAATTATTAATAAAAAGCCAAAGTTTCACAAAATAATAAAAGCATAACATTAACTTCACCCACTATCACTAACTCATCTTAAGAACAATATATGAGAGTTCCTTAATGGAATATTAGAACATCTTTGCTGCTACAACTTCACAAATAGCCTACTCGGTGTAAATTGCATATCCACCATAACGAACGATTCAAAAAACATATAAACTGTGAAAAATATGCATGCAAATCATCCCCTTTTGAAGAGATATATAGTTCTCAAATAGAACTACAGAAAGGCTGCAACAAAGTACATATATGGTTTTGAAAACAAAGCCAACTCAACTAAATCTATTTAACCTCTTTACTCTGTAGGACTACAAGGTCATGTAAGCATGTGAAACAAAATTCACTTCCTTGGATTTTCCAACTATTGATGCGTATCAACCTGTATGTTCCTACGCAGTTCAGATTTTCAGTATTTTAAGGGCTCAAAAGAACAAAAGCTTCATCAAGGTCATTCAACACATTTTCAGGTCTGATCTAGAGAATGAAAAAAAGCTAAAGTTGGGATAAGGCTACAATGATCATGATAAGATTAAAAATACTATATAAAAACATATTAGTTCAGCAAAATTGGGAACAAAGGTTCCATTTAGGGCATACAAATTTGGGAAGAATCCATGGACCTTCACAGGGGAGACAATGCCCATTCTTTTTAGGAGTGCAGATGAATACTGGTACGTGTAGAAAATAAGAGTAAGCTTCCTTTATTTTATTTATCTTGATTTAGACTCATGGCCAGCAGATTCATTTTCCAAGCAGTGCCAAGACATGAAGTGCAATGATCAGCATACCCAACCTAGAAGGGAAAAAGGACAATACATTGAAAGAAAAAAGAAAGGACACAGACTATAGAAAATCAAACTGAAATTGAATTTAAATATCCTTAATCCATTGAACTCAGGAGAGAATACTAAATTCGGACTAAGAAAGCCTTCTTTGGATTCTAGAAGCCAAGCGTATGTGATCATAACACCAATAGCTTATGACAAACAAGATGTATACATCTATGCAAAAATTCAAAGATAGCAATGAGATGTATGCATATATGTAAGCATCAATAAACATATGATACTTCTTTAAGGTGCACCTCCCAAATCCAACCTCTTTTGGCTTTGCCTTAGTCTCATTAGCATTATCAAGCAGTTATTCTGCTTCAAGGCCTCATATGCTAGGAAATAATCTCATGACATCTTGCATCTATCATATATGAATGAAATTGGAACTTCTCAAACAGCTTTTAGACCAACTTATGTTATGAACATATTGCTGGACAACATATATTAGGTTCCACGGAAATTCATGTTACAAGTAGTCCCATGCGTACCTTTTCTCTATGACAAAAGAGTTCTAGAACTCTTGCTCCAACAGCATAGCCTGCATCTTCTAATCTGCAATAGTAATGCAAATCAGAGAGGTTGTCCCGATCATAATTATTGAACTTTACAATAGACTCTCCAAGGAGATCCTACATATGGCCAAATTTCATAAGTAGAATAATATTTTGTTGAATATATTATCAAAGCACTATCAATAGAAGGGGATAGTGGAAAGTTATATACAATAAAAGCATTTTCTTTTGCTTTTTAAACTATTGGCTCCATTCTTTTGGAAGGACATACATAACAGAACCAGAGAATATGCAGAACAAGCATTGGAAGGCGATGCAAGTAGCAGGTAAAGAAAAGAAACGTACTCGCAGAACCACATTTTGTAGCACAGGGTGTAGGAATAAACATAAAACAACGCTATTCTAGAAAGCGTTCAAATTCGTAAATGGAGGGCCTTCTTATACGGGCCTCATGCCAATTACTCCAACACAATGAAATAGTATCCTAAACCATAAACAATACGAGTTTTCAATGGTATTTTATTTCAGAAGAAGACTTAACAAAAAAAAGCTCATGCCAAATTTGAAACATACAGAATTGGCATAAGTTTAAAATCTATAATTTTTTTATGAAATAAGGAAAAAAAAAACAAAGTGTGGAGAATGGACGAATTACTGCCTCATGTTTTTTTCTTCTTGTATAGGCAGCCACCCTTCTACCCTTATTAATATAAAAATGAAATCATAAGAAAAGAAAGATATTATTCTTGATTATATGCAAAGAAATAAAAAAATAACCATACACTAATATGCATTTATAATTTGTGAAGGTAAGAAAATTATTTATACACAATATTTTAGACTTCAGATATGCGGGAATTCCACACAAGGACATCAAGATCACTTGAATTGTTACGGTAGATCCTTGGATTCTCGCTAGCTTCCACACTCCCACTTTAACAGGAGAACCATTCCCAACTTGCAAGTAATTTATTGAAATCTTAAATTATATAGCCCTTTGGTCATGATATAAGCTAGCAGATTATTTGAAGGAATATAAGAAGTGCTAATTAAATCACTTTCCACTTTTTTCTTGATGAAGTTTCTATCAATCCCAATATATTTTTACAATTTTATTTGTAGATTTATCAGCAACAACAACATCAAGCCTTTGTCCCACTACATCCATTGTGTCATGTTAAAAGTCAAATTCTTGTTTAAATCTAATAAAGAAAGACCATTTCTAATATTTTCTAACCAAATCTTTTTAGTTCTACCTCTAACTTTCTTAACATAAGTCAAATCTAATACCTCTACTTTCCTAACCAGGCCATCGGAAAGTTGTCGTTTTATGTGACCAAACCATCTAAGGCAACTCTCTGTAATCTTATCTTCCACTAGAGCTACTCCAACCTTTTCACGTATATGCTCATTTCGTATCCTAGTTACTCTCTAATCTTATCTTCTATTGGCGCTACTCCAACCTTTATTTGTAGATTTATCGTTACAATAAAATCCCGTAGATCCTTCATAGTTGATTTTAAGCCATAAGATTTCACAAATACATTGATACATAGCTTTAAACTTAGGTTCAAAACTTGATCTTATCACAACTATCAACTTCTTACTTCTCCATATAACAAAATTAGCTCTAAGCAAGACATAAAAAGCAATCATTAACTTATAAACTTGATTGATCCACCATCTACATATACTTCTAAACTATCCACCATCTACATAGACTTCTAAACTAAGTTCTTTATTTTTCATAAATAATATTACTCTTCTTAGTGTGGCCTTTAGATAATGAAGGATGTTATGGATAGTTGGTAAATGTTTCGACAGTGGATCATGCATGAATTGGCTTATCAAACCAAAAATATAGGTAATATCCGATCTTGTGTTGGATAAGCAACCAATCTTTTGTACCTTCCTTAGTCAACAACACTATCATTTTCCTCTTCTTCCAACCTATGATTGGGATCACTAGGCAAGCTAGTGGTCTTGTTGTCTAAAGTATCAATTCTTTCAAGATACATAACACATTTCTATTGAAAAATAAATAGTCCTTCATTAGGATATACTACTTCAATCCCCCAAGAAAATTTCAGCCTCCCAAACTTCTTGATCTCAAAATCTAGTACAAGACTTCTCATAAGGATTCTTTTTTCAATTATATCATTTCCTATTATAATAATCCCATTCACAGATACTAATAGGATAGTAAGCTCTACTATGACATAATGTTTTATAAAGATAGTATGACCCCTTTACCTTTACTTGTATCATTTCGTGAATATCAAATATAGGGGATAATTTTAAATCATATATTGCTTTCCTAAACTTGTATACTTTAAAGCCATCAAAATCTTTGGCAAAATCATGAGAGGGTTCCATAAACTCCTCTTTTTCTAGGTCTTTGTATAAGAAGAGAGATTTTTAAAACAAATCGCAATACATTTCGGTTAAAAATACAAGCGAGAGACAAAAGAATATGTAAAATATTCCTTTTTGCCACAAGCAAATAGGTTTGATATATCCCATATGTTTGAGTATATCCCAAAGCTACTAGTCGAGCTTTTTATATTTTTAAGAACCCATCAACTTTGCATTTTAAAGTGTACACATACTAATATCCCACTAGCCTTTTAACTTTTGGTAGGTCAATTGATGTGAAACATATATGAAAACAGGAATTGCTTAGGAATTAATAACAAATTGTGAACCTTTGATAATTGTAAGCTCAATGTTTCACCAAGAAAAGGATCTATGATTTCTTAGTTGCAGTTATGCTTTGGTAGTCAGTTACACAAAAAATTAACAGAACAATTTAAAATAAGAGCAAAATTTTGTAAAAAAACTAGATGCAGAATAACAAAATCCACTGTTTAACAAATAGAAAATTCACCTTCGAGTTTTCCTCTCTTTCACTCTTGATAGTGGGGTTAGCGGAAGAACAACTTCAGCTATCCTAGAGATGCCGCCGAAAGAAAGATGACGCCTATGGTATTGATCCACGGAAAGTTAACCGGAGGAGAAGACGCGGGTGGATGTCCGATGATTCGCCAATGTCCGGAGGGTTGGTGTTCTTCAATAGTAGACGTCAGGGTGAAGAGGATGCGGTCGACGTATTCGTCAACGGTGTCGTCAACTTCCAGATTGAGGCCGAAGAAATGAGATTATAGAATATCCACTAAGCCTTGATGGTCGTAGATGAATCCGTGGTCAAACTCGGGATCAGCCATCCATAGAGGGCGGTAGACCGAGAAGTGGCGTATCTTCTTCCTTGGGTTGTATGTGTAGCAAGGGAATAGAGAAATAATGGAGGGAGGATGGTGGGTTCGACCAAGACTAGGAAAAGGGCCAATGTGGAACTCCAATTTTATTTAGTGGGATGGAGGGGACTTAAACTAAAATCTGAAGTATAAATTCAAAATTTTAGTATGAAGGGAGGGAGGAAATTTCAAATTTGAATGTCCAATAATGGAGGACTATGTGGGGGCGGCTTTCCTTGGGGAAACGGCATTGATTGGAGGCCTTCATGGGAAGAATTAATGAGTGAGAGAGAGAGAGAGGGGGGGCCGGCCTAATAGGGAGGGGAAAAGGTGTCCACATACAATGTATGTGGACCCATGCATTAATAAGTGAAAGGAATTAATTGGAGAGAGAGAGAGAGAGAGAGAGTCAAGAGGGGTGGCAGCTAGGAGAATGAGGGAGGGAATTGGGGAGGAATTTAAGTGGTCTCCAAATAAGGGTAATTAAATTAAAGAGATTAAATCTTGAGGATCTCTTCAATTTAAGTAGCTAGGAGAATGGCTAAGGCCTTAATATATAGGCCTCCAAAATCAAGAAAATAAAAGACTTAAATGCCCTCGGAACTACAACATAAAAGAGATCCCTCACAGGGGTACAATGGTAAAAACTGAAATATAAATAAAAGAAATACATAAATGCATCATAAATAGAGACTCAGAATCGTAGCCATCGATATGCAATTCATCTGATGGTAGACGCGTCGAATTTTTTATTGTTGTCCTCATCATCAACAACTTGCCATATTCCATTCTTTCGTAGTGTCATTTTTTCCTCTTTGATGGTTTGTTTATTCTTAAGAACCTCTTGTAGATTTGAGGAATGTTGATAGAGTTAATGTTAATTGAAGGACATAAAATGAAAGGTACAATATTGGGTGCAACTTTTTTCTTAGAGAAATGGGGAAATCCAAATTGGGGTCTATATTAATCTAAACATGATTATCACAAATAGTAATGGATGTAAGTTCCATACTTGGTTTGGACTATTGGATATACTAATGAGTTGAAATTGGAGCTTTAATTCTTGAGCATAAATGACTTGGAGTAGTGATATTTAATTCTATCATCTCTCATTAGAATGGTTCTTTTTAAGAGGAAATTTCAAAAAAAATTTATTTAAGCAGCTTCAAGAATAAATTGATGAATTTTGTTGTGGATTCATGAATATTTTAGAAGCAGATATAATGGAAGGTTGGCAATTGAAAATGGACATATTATCAAGATAAAAGGATTCATTTTTATGAGAAGTGACATCCAAAACTGTTTCAATAATTGGGCAATAAAACCTATATCCTTTTTGGGAGTTTGAGTAACTAGCAAACAAATTTTAAGCTCTTGGGTAAAATTTGCTTTTATTATAAGAATGAACAAGAACAAATAAAACAAACAAATGGAATATACTAGAATTTGTTAAAATTTGTATAACATTTGGAGAGAAATTTTTATACCATAAAACTCTAAATGGAATCTCATTTATTAAGAATGTAGTTACTAGAGCAGCTTCACCCCAAAAGTACTTAGGGACATCATTTTGAAACAATAGCCCATAACAATAATAATAATATGTCTATTTTTTCTATTCAACCAATCCATTTTGTTGAGGAGCATCAACATAGAAGGATTCATGGATAATTCTTTCTTTTATAGAGGAGAAATTTTAGCTTAAGACTCTTTAATATTATGAAATCCAAACAGAGTTATTATCATTTTGTGAAAGATAGGAAAGATGCTACTTAGTTTCTTTCAT